TGAATATTTGCTACTACCACCAAGATCTGCAGCGATCGGGAGCTCCACGCGCGCTCACGCGCACGCTTCGATGCATCCCACCGCGCCCTCCTACTCGCACCGGCTCACCAGCAGCCGGGTGCGGCCGGGTATAGGTCACGCGCTTGAGCGCCATCCATTTTCGGGGCTAATTGATTCGGCAGGTGAGTTGTTACACACTCCTTAGCGGATTTCGACTTCCATGACCACCGTCCTGCTGTCTTAATCAATCAACACCCTTTGTGGGATCTAGGTTAGCGCGTAGTTAGGCACCGTAACCCGGCTTTCGGTTCATCCCGCCTCGCCAGTTCTGCTTACCAAAAATGGCCCACTTGGCACTCATGTTGGTGGGGTCAGCCAGCACCCCTGAAAGCCAGCCACAATTAAGATGGCGGCCCTCCTCGCCCGTTTAAAGTTTGAGAGTCGGTCGAGGGAGCTTCTCCCCCGAGCCCGCCAATCATTCGCTTTACCAGACGTAACCACGTATCGAGCACCAGCTATCCTGAGGGAAACTTCGGAGGGAACCAGCTACCAGATGGTTCGATTAGTCTTTCGCCCCTATACCCAAGTCTGACGAACGATTTGCACGTCAGTAGCGCTGCGGGCCTCCACCAGAGTTTCCTCTGGCTTCGCCCTGCTCAGGCATAGTTCACCATCTTTCGGGTCCCAACGCGACTACTCAACGCACCCCGGGCGCCGAGGCCCCCGGGGCGGTCCGTGGTGCGGGCAGCACGAGGCCGCCTTCTCACGGGTCGCTTTCACTGTCGCCATTGTGGTTTCCAACCCATTGGCTCGCAGCCGCGTTGGCCTCCTTGGTCCGTGTTTCAAGACGGGTCGCATCAGCCCGTTTCGCCAGCGCCGACCCGTGAGGGTCATCCTCGGTCTCCGCCGCGGTGGGAGCGAGCTCCTTTTCCCGCGGCATCGACCGGCGCTGCGTACCTCCGGGCCCCGCGCGAACGGGGCCCGCAGGTTTGCTTGGGCTCATGCGCTTATCCTCCTGACGATTTCAAGCACTTTTTACTCTCTTTCCAAAGTTCTTTTCATCTTTCCCTCGCGGTACTTGTTCGCTATCGGAAACCTGGCCGTATTTAGCCTTGGATGGAGCTTACCACCCATGTTGGGGCTGCACTCCCAAGCAACCCGACTCTTCGGATGCGTCTCGTGGAGTGACGGGTCGTCGCCCGACGGGGGTGTCACCCTCTCTGCCGCCACTTTCCAGTGGACTTAAGGCGGCGCCCGTCACAGAGAACGCTTCCTTTTCAGACTACAATTCGGAGGGCCGGGGGCCCTCGGATTTCAAGCCTGGGCTTTTCCTTGGTCGCTCGCCGCTACCAAAGGAATCACGGTTGTTTTCTTTTCCTCCGCTTAGTAATATGCTTAAATTCAGCGGGTGGTCTCGCCTGACTTGAAGCCATCGTTTGGGGTTTGCCCGGTTCCTCCCCGTCCGACCATTTTTGTACGAGCCCCGTCCGCCTCTCGCCCGTTCTTGTGCGCTACTTTGGAGGGGGAGACCGGGGGTTGCCACGCCCCCGGCTCCCGAACCTTTTCGCGACCGTCTCGGGAGAGAAAAGAGGGACCGAGTGACCGGCCCCCCCACCTGCTGGGAGGTCCGGACGGAGTCCGTTGGCCGGCTGGGTTCGCCGAGCCCAGCGGGGTCGCCGCCCGCCTCATCTCGCTCGTCCCACTCGCGTCCTCCCGGGTGGCGCCCGGGGATCTGCACTGGGGTCGAGAGGAGCGGAGACGGGCTAATGCGGCCCTGCGATTTCAACCGACTGCCCCCCATTTGTGCCCCGGAGCGCACGGGTTGCGACGGCCATCTCGTTTTCCCAGGTACGAGCGATTGTCTCGGAGAAAGGGGGGGGCCGGAGCCCACACCAACCCGAGCGCCCCTTGTCTGCCCCGCATTGCTTTCCCGTCCCGTTTCCCCTGCCGCACTTAGCTGCGTGCGGAGGGGTGGGTTCGGATGCGAGGTTCCACCTGGATGTGTGTGGCGTTCAAGCAGACGTGCCCTCGGCCGAGGCCTCGGGCGCAACATGCGTTCAAAGTTTCGATGATTCACGGAGTTTTGCAATTCGCATTACGTATCGCATTTCGCTGCGTTCTTCATCGAGCCAGGTTCCAAGATATCCATCGTCAGGAGTGGGGTCCCAGTTTTTATTAGGTGCCGGGGCCCGTGGGCGCCCCGCTCAAGGGAGGGTTTTTTGCGACCGGACGGCCAGTTCCGGTTGCGGAGAGGTTTGTATTCCGCCTCTGCCCGCAGCTCCTTGATGCACTGCGAGCGGGACGGTTGGGGGTAGCAAAAGGGTCCCTTTGCCATCACCGCGGGCGCCCCTTCCCGAGCCTTCCTAGAGGAATTCAGAAGGCCGGGCGAGCAAGACCCCGCAGTCACACCGCCGATGCCAAGAGAGACCGAGCACCGGTGGCGGGGGACGCTGGATTGGGAGGAGGAGCGTCGGAAGGAAAGGTGTTCAGAGGATACTCG